TAAGCTCACTTTGTTGGTAGGGAAAGCCAAAGCCGATTAGGATAAACCAATGACTAAGCGTAAGTCTTCCAAACTAATTACACAGTTCAGCATGTGAAGTATAATTGGAAGCCTCCAGATGCGGGCTGCTCCGCTTTCACAGGAGTTACATAAAGTGAGAACGGCCTCCCGAGCACGGTACCGGGCGGCCCCGACATGGAGGTGAGCAGCTGAAAGGTGCGGGACTGCTCCGTCCGGGCGAAGCCGAGAATTCATCACGTGCGAAGGCTTCTGTTTGATCTCCAAAATCCTATAAGTGAGAATGTAAGAAACCGGCACTTGAAGGAGGGACCTACGGGAGAGGAGGAGGAAACCCATATGCACGGACTGTCTTTGATCCGGTGCTTTTTAATTACCGAGCCGGGCTGCTCCATGCTCAGAAGCATGGAGCCAAGGCGTTGCCAGGCTGTGTGTGTGCACGCCCAGAGCATCGTTCGCGTGCCATTCTTTGGAGTGGGCTATATACATCATTCCTGTATGTATGAAGTCAAGAGCACAGATAATGTCCACTAGGAAACCTGAGGCAGTAAAACACATTACTATGTATCGATGGCCTTGACGAATGAACAAAGCCTGCTCCCTGGGTGTGCGGGGCTGCTGCTGGGAAAGTGGGAAGTGCGGTCCGATGAACAGCGGAAAGGACTGAGGGCAACATGGCGCAAACATGAGTGACATCCGCACTCCATCCGGCCTGGGCCGTGTGATCTTGGACAACTTCTCGACCTTCCTCAACATTAGTGCTGTCACCCACAGGACAGATGTTCTACCTATCTTGCCTTGCAGCCTTGAGAATCAAATTTTTGTAATGCATTAAAAAGCTTAGCACAAAGCACACATCCCTCTAATTCAGAAATATCAACTCAAGGAATCTTCCTAGTACAAGCTGAATTTCACAAATTCTGAGTCTTCATCAATTTAGATCTAATGCATGTAATTGGGAGTGGGAAATACTCTGCAGTTTTGCTGGATCTTACTCATAGGATGAAGATTCTAGTTTATAAACAGCAGCTTTTTCTAAATAGAGGATTCACTGTCCCTGCATCTCAAGTCCAGAAATTCACTCCACCGCAGTTATGACCGTTTTTGCTTATTATATAATGCTTATTACTACTGATAATACCTCGTTTTGGTTCCAGTCTACAGATAACTTAGACATCTATCTACCCAACTATGCATGTGTATTTAAACCACTTTCTAAATTATTGAATTTTAATGTTTGAAAGCAATCTTAGAAATACTCCATTCAAGGGGCTGGGAAGTTATGGCCCACCAACCAAATGTGACCCACCACCTGTATTTTGTAAATAAAGTTTTATTGAAACACAGCCACACCCAACTGTCTTTTCAACAGCAGAAGTGACGAGTTGTGATAGGGACAATACGCTCTGCAAAGCCAAAAACATTCACTGTCTGACCTTTACAAATCTTCCAATCCCTTCCCTCTGTTGAAAACCCAAGGTGAGGAAAAAAATGGCTCATGGGGTAGCACAGTGGAGTCGAACCCATCTCAAGGGCTTGGAACAACGTCTGCCTCCCTCTGTCTGAGGACAACACGGGAGAGCCTGGGGCCGGCCACCCCAGTTAGCCAGTCCTCCTGCCAAGGGCCACACGGCGTGACCTCATCTTGAATACAAACAAGTCTTGACATCCCTAACAGGGGTGGGTAAACCCTCTGGGGGAAAAGTTGGAGAAAAGCACAAAAGGGTTCCCAAACCTCCAATTTGAGTTATTTAGAGCTCCCGGTGTATCCACTTCCAGTAATGACAGATTTCAACGCCCTGAGCTCAGCCCTATGATGGCAGGCTCACCCGTCCTGACTGCCACCTGAAATAAACAGTGGAAGCAGCTGCCAGCAAGCTGAGAAAAGGGGAAGGAGAGAGGCATGGCAGCAAGAAAAACCTAAAAAGCGGGTAGCAAACCCTGAATGGAAACTGCAGACAGATGGAAAGTTCTAGGCTCAGAAGAAGAGGAAGTAGGGTGTGAACTCTGGCTGTTATACTGCCTTACCTGGGTGACCTTAGCTGAGACTTTGCCTCCCTGAGCCTTACTGCCCACCTCCATCGAATGGGCCAGCGATCCCAAACTCCACCGTGCAGATGGAGCGGGGCGATACACACGCATGTTCGCAGCCTGTCGGGGGCACACGGAGGGGCACGGCCTTTCCTCTCCTTTTGTGTCCTCCCCTCCCTAAGTCCCTCCTGTGGTTCCATCAGAAGGTGCAACGGCACCCAGAGTTCAGGTTCTGTTATCACACAAGCCTAGAGGGGGAGTCCGCACCCCTTTCTGCATCCCCCGTCTTTCAGGGAAGGCTGTGACCTTGAGTCAAAGACTTAACAACCTACAAAATGGGCAGCGCCCCCACCAGCCTCCCAGAGAAGGACAGAATGACGTGATGTAAGCCGGTGCCTTGACTCAGTATCCAACCCTTAGTGCCACTCACTAAGTAGTAATGTTACACCTCACTTAACAAATTTGCAGTAAACCAACTGAAAAGGGCTCTGGACACCTTTACAAAGCCAGGAATGTGTGGAGATACTTCATGCGCGTGTATGTGCGTGCGTGTGTGTGGCCTGGTTTCGTCTTCCGGAATATAAATTACTGAAGGGCAGAGTCAGTTTGTCAATTCCTTACCTCCTTTCAAGGCTGCTGGATCTTCTCTTTGCCCGCAGCCCCAGAAGCAGAGTCTCCCCTCCTTTGATCATTCTGGATTCCACTGAGTTATACCAGGATCCCGAGAGGAGACAGGCCCTGCCCACTAATATAACACCAGCCACCAGCCAAAGCAGGACTAAGCTATTCTAAAGACAGACCCAGGGAGTAATACACAGAGTGTGTGTATGAAACAAGCCCCCCTGCAACATGGACAGGGAGCGTTATGGTTCTGATACATCCAAAAGCCTCCCTGGTCCTTTAATGAAACACTTGAGCCGTTTAGCCATCCTGCTGGACCTCACAAATGTTCCTGTGAAATCGACTGAGTGGCTTCAGACCAGGCCAGGGCCATGCCAGGAACACAGTCTGTGACTGCCTCCCAGACAAGGGGATGAGTGTTCTCAGTGCAGCCGTGATCACCGCCGCCGTGGGCAGGGCCTCCCACGGCTGGCACTCGGGGTCACGACTGTGGGTGCTAATGAAAAACGACGGAAGGAGAGAAAGGGAGAAGGGCAGAGAGAAAGAAACTGAGTTGGAAATGTGGAGATGTGGCGAGTAGAAGCCTGTTCGGAGCGTGCTAACAGCCCATCTGGGCAGCACCCACTTCCCGGACACCCACAAACAGGCCCATGAGATTCCCAGGCAGGTTATGGCTCGAAAAACAAAAAAAAAATCCCACCTCACGTTTGCAAACACTACCCCTGGCCTGTTTTCAAGGTGGAACGGTAGCAAAGCAGCGCGCACTCCAGAGCCTTCCATTACGCGAGCCGGACTTGTCTCTTTTAATTATTTCCAATCTCTCTCCCCAGGCGGGCTGGGGCTGGGCGATGAACAAACCCCCCTCAGTGCTTTCAATCCGTCTCTGAGAGAAGGAGGATAACATGCAGGGTCACCAACGCGCTCAGCTGTTTTTCAGAACCGGCCGGGATGCATCGTCCCCAACTGGCAGCGCAGAGAGGGCCCCCGGGAAGGCGGCTTCTCATGACCGGCCAGGAAGGGCAGTTAAGTGCCCTTCTGAATGCAGGGCTGGGCTGGAGGGGGCTGGTTTCTCTTTGTTGCTTGTTCTCCCATCCATGCAGAAATTGATTAATACCAGAGACCAAAAAAAAAACCAACGACTCCATTTTGAGGCTAAATAGAGGTCAGGGCACTCTTCCCAGACAGCAGCTCACAACCTGGGCATACCTGGGGACAGGGTCACAGCTGCCACTGCCTTGGGCAAATGACTAAAGCACAGAACCTTCAGACTGGGCAGTGGGTACAGTGCCGTTGTGCCACCAAGACAAGCATGACTGGTCGGTGTGGGGGGAGTTGGGGGGACGTGGGTGATGGAGGTTGGAGTGGGTGCAGGGTCCTCTCCCAGGACGCGGCCCTCTGCCATGTCAGCCCTTCAGCAGGGGCTGGGGGAGGGGGTGGCGCAGACCTGTGTGCAAGGAACCGTCTCACACCTGACTCCCAAGGCAATGTCGAAAGGCACTCAAAGATACAGGAAGCAGAAAGCGCAGGCTCTCCCCCGCCAGCCTTCTGGAACACGGGAGCCAATAGGGGTCAGCTCCCCACAAGCTGCCCTGTGGGGGCCTTGGGGCGACTGGCATCTAAGGAATGTGTCATCCTCAGAAGATCCCACTCTCCAAAGCACCGGCTCCCCCACGGACTGGAAAGAGGCTGCACTGAATGCAGCCCTATGGTTGTGTATTCTGTCTGTCTGACACACACACACTCTCGAGCTCCGTTTCCTGACTGATTTGGGGCGTCCAATGTTGCTCTCAGCCTGTTCCAGCGGCAGAGCCCAGGGGATAATTTTACTGCTGTCTCACAGACCTTCTGACAGGTACAGGCCCGCGTCCTTCCTGAGTTTCCCTGGGCATTTGACAAGGGAGAGTTTACTGCAAAAAGCCCCAGGCGGCTCCTCTCTCAACCCATTACCCAGAGAGGCACAGAATGAAGCCCAGCGCCGACTCACAGGCCTCTAGCAGCTTCTGTGGGAGCTCCCGCCCTGTGACTCAGTCCCACATCCCTCCCCAGCTGCTACCACTGCCAGCTCCCAGACCAGGCCCCATGTGGCCAGCCAACGCCAGCCAGCACCACCGTGCTCAAAGGCCACCCTGTCTGCTCCTGCGGGCACGTGGGGCGCCCTGCCAACAAGGCGGGCTCGTCCATCTCAGCTCCTGCTGAATTTCACTGAAGTCTTGAGAGCCAAGTTCAAAGACATGGTTCTTGAAGACACAGCTGTGGCCGAGGCAGGGGCCACGGCAGCCCCACCTTAGGACTGACCGAGCACACACTTGCCACCCTCACGCACCGCTTACCTTGCCAAACTGCTCGAAGTATTGCTTTACGTCTTCCACCACCGTGTTCGCAGATAATCCGCCTACAAATATCTTCTTTGTTCTTGTGACCATCTGCAAGAAATGACAAGAGGAGGACACGGGTTAACCAGGTTATCTCAAGCGACGCCCGCTGAGATGCTGGAACAAGCCGCTCCCCGCCCTTCTCTAGGAAGGCGGTTGTGGACAGGTGCAGGCTGCAGGGAGGGGGCCCTGCAGAGGCCGCAGGGGGCCGGGGAGTCGCTCTGGGTATCTGAGGCCGGTGGGCCGCAACCTCAAGGCTCGAGGCTCACACAGACCCACAGTGGACTCCAGGACCTCTTTAGCCAAAACGCACAGCCTCCTTCTGACATACCAGCCCAGACAGAAGAGTCGCGGGTCAACACCATTTAAACCTAAGAGACATGAACCAAACAGAGCGGCACGCCTAAAAATCTGCTGCCCAGAAAGCACCCCTAAAACCTGCCACGTAATGAAGAAAATCACACAGAACTCAAAAATCCGTGTGGCCTGTCTACACTGAGCAGTCTGCGTGGCGGTGCACGTCTGCCAGTAACACACACACAAAAACCACCCGCCAGGCTCCGCCCCCGTCCTCCTTCCTCTCGACCTCTCACGATTTACCTCGCTTCTCCCTACGCTCAGTTGAGCCCAGCCAGTCTCCACACCTCTGTCCACACTGGTCATCCCTTTCCTTGGAATGCTTCTCCGTGCCTGTCTCCCATGGCGAACTGTGGCCACCCGTCACGATCCAACAACCTTCTCCAGAATCCAGAATTATCTCCAGTGCCGCCCCATCCAGAAGCTGTTCTCCCCTCTTCTGAACCCGCCAACACTGTGCCCACCCGCCCCTCACAGCGCTCACCGAACTACTTCCCACCTGGCGCTGGAATCATCAAGAATCCTGCCTTCCATATTTCCTCCCCCAGAAGACAGGCTCCTGAGTGCTCCTGGCACCCCCCACACTGCCGGCCAGGCACGCGGAGCCCAGGACTGTGCGGTGGGTGCAGAAACAAAGGTGTGTGGCCCTGTTTCTGAACCCCACCTGTTCCAAAGCGAAGGGAGAAGGGAGCTCAGTGCCTAAACTTTCAGGGCAGCAGAGACCAATGATCTTAACAGGAGCCGAGGAGAAAAAAGAAGATAAATTTTATTCTGAAGACCTTTAGGCTATGTGGGTTTTTTTTTTTTAAGTCAAATAAAAAAGCTAGAAACTCAGTGGGTGCAGGGTCTTACCAGTTTGGTTGCATGTAATAAAAAAAGCACATGTCTTAACTCGAGAGGAATCTGGTCACAATGTACACAGATGCTGAGTCGTAATGTTATGTGCTGCGAATACTTTACGCTTTTATTTGTCAGTTACACCTTCATAAAGCCGGAGAGAAATGTTCGATGAGAACATACACACAAAGAAAAGCATGATCGAAACCCAAAAATAAGGGAATGAGACAAATCTTGGAATACAGTTTTAAAAACCCACAATGTCACCTATGTCTATTATATGATTCAATTCAAGAGACCCAAGTACAGGGGCCGTAGGCGCCTGGACCACTGTTATCACCAAGGCTCCAAACCACTTTGCTGAGAGGAAAAACCAACCCACCCACCTCCAACAGGATGGCCTCAGCCGAGGGGCACCGGGGGCACAGCGATCCATGGGAGGCCGTGCTGTGGAGGGCAAAAGGCACTGGAAACCTGCCTCAGGGTCTCGGTCTGGGTGGGATCCAGGACAGGGCCCACCCTGAGCTCTGGGTTCTGCCCTCTGCACAATGGAGTCCCGCCCCGCAGCTCCAGGTCCCACCTACCCCCGAAGGCTCACCAGCCTACCAGCACGCGTAGGTGGTTCCCAGGCTTCGAGAGCTCCCGCTGTAGCTTAGTGGCTCCCAGAGGGGACATGTGCCGACGCAGCCTGCTGACGGAGCCCAAACTGGAATATCCTTGGGAAATAATGGACTTCCTGCACTATTTTAAGAGGACACTGCCCTGGCAACTTCCTGTCTGCTGGGAGGGCCGTGCAGTGGTTTGTACTTGCGTTTAAGGCTGTGATTCACTGGGTTTCGTCTCTTTCAGATGAACAGGAGGTTAGATGAGATCATGCACGTGAGGATATTCTGTGACAACCCCACCTGTGTCCATACCGCCAAGCTCCAGGAACCACTCGTGAAGGGGTGGCATCTTACTCTTCTCCTTATCCATCCCGTAAGCCTCTCTGGTGGACAAGGTCACCTCACAGTCTCCCCAGACTCACTAATCGCCAGGTTTTACTAACCTAACTTTCCTCATGTGTTCATTCAACAGACATATTGAGGGCTGCTAGGTGCTGGACCTTACCTTCCCGTGTAATATGGAATTTAATCCACTATAAAACAGAGATATGATAATTAGCCAACCACACAAGGTTCCCATGGGAAATAAATTAAATAACAAATGCCAAAGTGCCTAGTGGGACACCAGGTAGATGCTAAATAAATGGCCACTGTAACTGAGTCCTAACTCTGTTGCTGAATGTATCCTTCGAGCTCAGGGTAAATGCGCAGCAGAAAGACACCTTATACAGGGAACTCGGACCCCTCTCCACTTGTTGCCTGACCCTCTGCCCTATCATTTCAGAAACACGCCCCTGCATTCCACTCGACTTCAGACGAGACCTCAACAGTTTCATTTTACATTTTTCATTCCTCGTTTTTTGCCCCAGCCAAGTCATTAAAGATCTGCACAGGAAACCCTAATATGACCCACAAACATGCACAAGTGGAGTTTTAGACTTAAACTCAGGAGAGGCATTCTAGAAAACGAACCCCGTGGCCTAACTTACATGCTGGTTGGAGCCACGTGGATACAGAGCAGGCCTTACTTATATTCCAAATGTTCATGTGGACGCAGAAATTCGTCGGCCAATGTGTCTTCATTCCAAATAACGGAATGTTCATTCCCCGTAACTGGGTAAATGCAAGGTTCGCCCTCTTACACCCTCCACTGTTGCCTTACAGCCATAAACTTGCCAAGACAGAGCCCTAAACACTGGGGCGGACACCCAGCTGTAAATACACAGTCCTAAAAGGGTACTGAAAACACTTTTTAAAAAATAAATAAAAGCAGCGAGAGGATGAGAAATCCCAGGCCCCGGACAATGAGCTAAAGTGTCCAAGTTACTAACACATCCCCGCCAGGAACCAGCTCAGATACAGTGATGTGTCCCACTCTTCAGCAGATGCTGAAGGAAACTGGTTTCATCAAAGCCTTCCAGATGTGAAGAGGCCTGTGGGAAGGTGTGCAACACTTGGTTAGCTGCTCACGGATGTCTGGGCTACAGGAGAGGGCAGCCCGGCTGGGGGGCGATAGTGTCAGGATGGGGACCTCTCCTGCCTGGGGCGTGCTAGGGGGAAAGGGAGCTATTCCCTTCGGCAGTCCTGACGCACGCATCACTGCCAAATGGGCTGTGGACTGCTTGAGGATCTGCATTCTGGAGAGGGACTCAGGAAGCAGGCTGAGGACTCCAGAACCACATATTCTTCCCTTGCATCTCCCTGGCTTCTCAGGAGGGCGGGGCAGGAAGGGGACAGGGCTGGGGTGCTTGTTAGGCTCTCAGGGGGGCTGGATGGAGGGCCTCAAATTCTCATCAGTATCACCCGAGTTTCTGTGCATGTGCATGCATGTGAATTCGTGTGTGTGTGTGTTTGGTGGCGTGCGCGCGGGCACACACACACACACACACACTATTCCCAGTGCATTTGCCCCAGGAGCCACTTGGCACCCCCAGAACTTTAACTGTCTTCTGATCTTGAACACAGTGTGCAAGCTGCCCACTGGCCCCTGGCTGTACAATCTTGGCATGATAAAAAGTCCTCTCCGCCTACAAGGCAGAGAGACACCTGTGTTCTCTTCCTGCGCTGGGCCCATCGGGAAACTGTTTCCTAACCCACAGCGTTCATACCCCTGCAGCACCTAACCGCACGAGCTACAGGGAAGCCAGCCGCTGCACACCGGCCCTCGGGGTGGGGGTGCACCTGGGTGATGAGGGCCAGAGAGAGCTCAGCCCAAAGTCCATCAGGAACCTGATGTTAAATTTCCTTGACTACAAGTTTTTGGTGGAGGGGCTGCAGAAGACACTTTGGCATGTGAGTGCTTTCCACTCTGAGAGACACTAGGTCCCACCAGGAGCCCTGCACCACTTGGGGGGGCAGCCCCCCTCGGCAGATGCCCTCCTTTTATGGTGCAGCACAGCAATATGGGAAGTGGTGCGTGTGTGTGTGCGCGTGCGTGTGCATGTGTGTGCGTGTGTGTCACACACAGGGGAGTGTTCAGAGTCTCGCAGCTCAATGCTGCAAAGTCTTGCATCCAGACCTGTAATTTAACTAAACATCACTGCTCTCCACAAACCCCTTGGCTCCACAGAGAAAACCCCAGCACCATTCCAGTTCGGAAAATTGCTGTTTACACGTAAAAACTGGCCGAACCCAGCTGCTAACTGGGGCTCTGAAGAACGCTCTGCCTTCCTGCCTCCAACCAGACAACAGGCTTTTTTTTCCTTTGGTTTCATAAATTCCCTTTTAAAAAATATGTCACCAACTCAAATGGTCACTCAGACTGGGGCCACTGGTTGCATTTTTATAAAACAGGATGAAGCAGGGTGTATGTGCGCGTCCCACTCAGAGAGTGGGGTGGGGGCGCGGCAAAGAGAAAAATTACACTCGAGAACGAGACCGCAGCGCCGGCCCCCAAATATTAGCTGCCACACAAGCAAACAACAGTGAGTATTTCCCAATCCTGACAAATGCGAGGGGAGGCAGATTGTGGCTCTGGGGAGCCCGCGTTGGGGATGGGGCAGGTCTGGAGAAATTAAGTCAACTCCTGCTATCGCCATCTTCCTGAAAGGAGTTCAAATTCCCCTGCCCGGGAACACAGGCTCGCCGACAGGTGCTCTTGCCTCTGTGGGAACCCTGAGGGGAGGACCCAGAATGGGTGTCCAATCCTGGCCGTCCCTCCCGCTGACACAGACGGGAAGTCAGATCCAGTGGATAAAGTGGTGGACACCACTCGATGTCATCCCAGGTCCTAAACCTTGTGCGTGCTTGGCT